GCCGCGACAGCAGTTGGGGCCGCAACGGCAGTAGGGGCCGCGACGGCAGCAGGGGCCGCGATGGCAGCAGGGGCTGGCAGGGCCGCGACGGGCCAGCAAAGGCAGGGCCGCGACGGGCCGTACTAGGGCAGGGCGAGAGGCGCGCTTCGGGCAGGGCGAGAAAAATAAATCGTGGTGGGCCCTAAAAAAAACGTTCCCACAAGGGAACCTGCTCAGAATACCATGTTAGAATAGTGAACGAATGAATGAACTAGAAAGCAGGTGGGTACAAGTAGGAAACCTAAAAGTGTTGTACCCTATAAGAAATACCCCAATACAGCCTAAACAGACTATAGCATATAAGTTTGACATGAGGGTGACTGTTACCGGTGTGTGCCGCCTGACCCAGGTTAAGAGGCTCCTGCTCTAGGTGATAGTGAGTCTTCTCTCCCTGGTACTGCGCCTGCTTAGGCCTTGCACACCTTCACACTTGACTCAGGTGCCTCTCGCTGGTTCTTTCATGACAGCACCACCCTCACTCCTCTCCCTGCACCTATCCCGGTCAGACTGGCTGACCCCTCTGGGGGCCCGGTCATTGCCCGTTCCTCCACTGTCCTCCTGTGTCCGGCGGTTCCGTCCGCCTTACTGTCAGGTCTTCACCTCCCCTCGTTCTCTATGAACTTGGTGAGTACCGCTGCCCCCCAGGACGCGATGGTCACTACCACCATTCCTGGGGGTCAGCGTGTGTCGATCTGCACAAGTACACGGACGGGTCGTCACCTGGCCCATTCACTCGTCGGCAAGGGTCGAGTCTGTACACACTGGCTACCGAGCCTCCTCAGGTAGCTGCTTCTGCTCAGGTGTCCGCGTCACGTCAGGTAGCACCCCCTTGCTCGTGTCGCCTCCTGTCGCACCAGAATCTCCTGTGGCACCACCGCCAGGGTCACCCCTCCCTGCCACGCCTTTGTGGAATGCACTCCTGTCTCCTTCTCTCTGGTCTTCCCAGGTCTCTGCCTCCCCTACTGCCCTCGCCTGCCCCGCCTTGCCTTCCTTGCGTCGAGGGGCAGCAGCGCGCCGCTCCTCACTCTTCCTCGTTTCCCCCGACAACTGCTCCCCTGCAGACTCTCCACATGGACGTGTGGGGCCCAGCCCGCCTCAGTGGACAGGGTCACGAGCGCTACTTTCTGCTGGTTGTTGACGACTTCACGCGGTACACCACGGTCTTCCCCTTGCGCAGTAAGGGTCAGGACGTTGATGTCTTGATCCCTTGGATCCGTGCAGTACGTCTCCAGCTCCGCGAGCAGTTCCGCCAGGACCTTCCTGTCTTGCGTCTGCACTCTGACAGAGGTGGTGAGTTCTCCTCCGACCTCTTGCGGGACTTTTGTCATGGGAAGGGCATCCTCTAGTCGTTCACACTTCTGGCCTCACCGCAGCAAAATGGGATTGCTGAGCGCCGCATTGGCTTAGTCATGGAGGTCACTCGTACCTCCATGATCCATGCGGCTGCTCCTCATTTTCTGTGGCTGTTTGCGGTCCGGTACACTGCGCATCAGCTCAACCTCTTGGCCCGTGTCTCCTTGCCGGAGACCTTGCCCACAATGCGTTGGATGGGGCAGGTTGGCGATGCGTCGGTGTTCCGGGTCTGGGGTTCTCGTGCCTTTGTTCGCGATACGTCCGCGGACAAGCTCTCCGCCCATGCTATCCCCTGCGTCTTCCTTGGCTTCCCCCCTGACGCGCCTGGCTGGCAGTTTTACCACCCCACCTCGCGTCGTGTCTTCCCCTCTCAGGACGTCACGTTTGACGAGCCGGTTCCATTTTACCGTCTCTTCCCCTGCCGCTCTGCCCCTCCCCCGCCCCCGCCGCTCTTCCTTGCTCCTGGTCCCCCTCCGGTAGATCCCCTCCCGCCCCAAGGTCCTGCTCCCTTAGGTGTGTCTCAGGTTTACCCTCTCCCTGGTACTGTGCCAGTTGAGGTAGCTGGCGACTCAGGTGCTGCTCGAGGAGCTGGAGCTGGAGACCCTGCGGAGTCTGGAGGCGCTGGAGCTGGAGGCACTGGCACTGGTGGTGCTGTCGCTAGAGGAGCTGGAGACACGAGGATTGTTGACCCTGGAGCTGGAGGTGCTGGAGCTGGGGTGCTGTGCTTGGCGGTACTGGTGCTAGAGGCACTGTGCGGCCGCGACCGTACTTCGCTCCCCTACTTCAGCAGGTTCTTGGTCTCCCATCTTTCACTGGCCTTACTCCTCCCTTACTGTGTCCACCGCCTGACCAGTCACAGCCGCCGTTACTACCAGCCTCCCCACTGCCTGCTCCTTCTCCTTACACTGAGCAGACTGGAAGTCTTACAGAGCGTCGTGAGCCTAAGTCTCGTCTTGCCTCGCCTGTTCGCGCTGTTCGCACTGGTCGTAGGGTTCCTCGTCCTCGTCCTCCTCCTCTCCCCGGCACCCATGCTATGGCACTTCGTCCTTCCTTTGTTCCACTGCGTGTTCCTCTGCCGCCTCCTCCTGAGTCCTCTCTTCCTGCCGTCCCTGACCCTGAGTCTGACCTTGCTCGTGCTGCCAGTCCCACTGTCTTTCGTCTCCTCGCCACTGCTGTCACTGACCCTTCCTTTGAGTCCACTGCTGCGTCTGCTCTTGTTGCTGAGCTAGTTGACTTTGCTGCTGCTTGTCGTCTAGACTACGCCACTGCTCTTGTTGCTGAGTCTGAGTCTGCCAGTCCTCCGTCCGTCGGGGGTGAGTGTGCTCTTGGCACGGACGTCCTTGAGGACAGGCAGGAGGACCTTGAGTGTCTTGCAGCTGCTGTACCTCGTTTCGCTTCCATGTTGCTTGCCCCTGAGGGAGACTTGGATGCACCAGACATCCCGACCCCGCGCTATTACGCAGAGGCGATTACGGGTCCTTACTCCTCTCAGTGGCAGGCACCCATGGATGCCGAGATGGCATCCTGGAAGTCCACAGGCACCTACGTCGACGCAGTTCCCCCGTCTAGGGCGAACATAGTCGATGGCATGTGGATTTTCAGGGTGAAGCGGCTGCCGGGTTCTCTGCCTGCCTTCAAGGCGCGTTACGTTGCTCGAGGCTTCAGTCAGCGACAGGGGGTTGAATACTTCCATACCTTCTCCCCCACCTCGAAGATGACCACTCTTCGGGTGTTGCTGCACGCAATGCTCAGCGTGACTACGAGTTGCACTCTTTGGACTTCAGTACAACTTTCTTGCAGGGCAGCCTGCACGAGGAGATCTGGCTGCGCCGCCCACCTGACTTCACTGGGTCGTTTCCTGCAGGTAGCCAGTGGAGCCTCCGGCGGCCAGTCTACGGTCTCCGCCAGGTGCCTCGCGAGTGGCACGATGCAATGAGGACTACACTTGCGGCTCTGGGGTTTACTCCTTCAACTGCTGACCCGTCGCTGTTTCTACGCACCGACACGTCGCTGTTTCTACGCACCGACACGTCGCTGCCGCCCTTCTACGTCCTCGTCTACGTCGACGACCTGGTCTTTGCCATTGCTGACACTAAGGCACTCACCCTTGTGAAGTCAGAGCTGCAGAAGAGACACACCTGCACTGACCTGGGTGAACTGCGCAGCTATCTTGGCTTGCAGATCACCTAGGACAGAGCACGGCGCCTCATCACCCTGACTCAGTCACACATGGTGCACCAGGTCCTTCAGCGCTTTGGCTTCCAGTTCTCTTCGCCACAGCCCACTCCTCTGTCTACCAGCCACCCGCTCTCAGCTCCACATTCGGACGAGTCCGTAGAGCCAAGTGGTCCATACCCAGAGCTTGTGGGTTGCCTCATGTACCTGATGACGTGCACACGACCTGACCTCGCGTACCCTCTCAGCCTTCTGGCTCGCTACGTGGCTCCCGGTAGGCACCGAAAGGTGCACTGGGATGCTGCGAAGAGGGTACTGCATTACTTGTGCATTACGTCGAGCATGGGGCTCGTGCTTGGAGGACGGGGTCCAGTTGTCCTCACTGGACACGCAGACGCTTCTTAGGATGTCGACTTAGCTACGCAGCAGTCGTCACAGGGTTACACCTTCAGCCTCGGTTCCGGCTCTGTTTCCTGGCGGTCTACCCGCTCGTCTTCGGTTCTCAACTCCAGTTGTGAGGCTGAGATCTACGCCGGGGCCATGGCTGCACAGGAGCTACGCTGGCTGACCTACCTGCTGACTGACTTGGGAGAGCTGCCTCGTTCGCCTCCAGTTCTGTACGTAGACAACAAGGCCATCATTGCCTTGTGTTAGGAGCACAGACTGGAGCACAGAACGAAGCACATCGCTCGGCGATACTTCCTTGCTCGAGAGTTGCAGCAGCGTGGCCAGCTTCGTCTTGCGTACGTGGCCACTACGGCCAACATATTCACCAAGGCACTTCCGCCTGGTGATCATCAGCGCTTCTCTACTGTGTTAGGCCTTGTGCCTACTTTGCCTCACTTGCTCACTGCGTGACTTGCTTGTACTGTGATCTCTATTTATACCTGCATGCTTACACTTGCTAGGGTATGATCACTGTATTGTTTGTTCTCTTTTATATAACTCTGCATGTGAAGTGGCCTTGCTTGTTTGTGACCCTTTGCTTGTGCTCGGACTGTGTGGTGACTTTGTGATCCACCCTGAGCTTGCTTTGCTTTTCTTGACTCGTCTTGCGACCACTTGTTCTCCCCCACTTTGCCTATGGGGGTGTGTCAGAATCTCATATTGCTTTCTTTGTGTAGGCTATAGTTGGGTAGCCCATAAGGGGTACAACCCAATTAGGGTTAGTACTTGTACCCAACTGTTTCATAGTTCATCCATCCCTGTTCATTCCTTTGACACGACGATGTTGTCGTGACCGCTCGTTGTTGCGAATTCGACGTGACGATGGGCTTCGCGAGGCCCACTCGTGCTTGGTGCGGCTCTGTTCCTCTCCATGCCGGGCATTGATTGGGCGCCATCATTGGCTGCGCGTGAGCGCTGTCCCACGCTGTCGTGATGTGACGGTGTGATGACAATCGGCTGATCCGATTGCGCAGTTGCATTTGCAGGTTCTTGTGTTGGTGCTGGTACATTCACCGTTGATTACTCGTGGGCGGAGTCACGTTCCGCCGTGAGTGTCGCGATTTCGAGCGCCGAATCTTCGAGTTGGCGGACGAGCCGGTCGAGTTGCTCCTGCGTCAACGTCGCGAGATTGAGGTCGACCATGGTGAGGGTTTCGGGCAAGCTCAGCGAGAGCCTCAGTCGTGGACGTGCGTTCTTTCGAGAGTCTCTCATACCTCTTGTTCGCGATATTCCACCTTCTTACCTTCACAAGTTTTCGCTGGGCATCCTGGCGGCTGGGAGGCTGGAACCTTGGGATTGCCTGCACATGGAGCGACCAGCGATCAAGCCGAAACCTTTGGGCCCACGTGGCTGGGACACGCACCAGATTTGCCGCATTCCTTCCTTTCCGCCTTTCCCCGCGTTCCCGCATTCCCCCGTCCTGGCCTCCCTCCCTCCCCCATCCAAATGAATTGGACGTTTGAGTGGTACAAACCAATGCGATTGTACGTGACAGGGTGGTACACTGAAGCTCTAACGCGTGGCTGATAGTTTCACCACATCCACCATATCACACCGCTCCCTACCTATCACAGCCTTATTCCCCAATTCTGCATGAATGCTGCGAGTGATCGCCATAACCTCCTCGACTGTCGATGATTGCACATGATCAGCCGTTTCATTAGCCAGTGTTCAGACTCTGTTGAAGCCACTTAGGGTGAAGCCTTCTGTTGCCGTTTCGAGAAATCGCTGGCAGTTTGAGTATCCGCTTGACCATTCGTTTGCCCATCTGTTAGACGAGCAGATATCGGCTCGAAGCGCTGTGTCCGTGTGCTTGTGCAACGCTGTTTGCCTGCAAGTTTAGCCCATCTCCTTTCTACATTTCGTGTTCCTTACATTTCCATGGCGGATTTACCGCTTCGTTCCAAACACAGAGCTCAATATAGACGGATAGGCTGCTTTTGCTAGTCAGTCGGCACTCGCTGCCCTTTTACCCAGTGTTCCCGCGCACACAGAATGACCAGCCGCGCATTGTACAGTACATTGCAAACGTTCAGATAGTAGTTCCTCATTAGAACCCATCTGCACCGCGACGATGTCCGTCATGACTGCACGATCGTCAGCGCGAAAGCTGGCGCAAGTGTTGCCATCAAATGTCGTCGCTGACGTAAGCCGTGCACACCCATTCCTCCTCTCCTCCTCCCCCCTCTCCCTTTCTCACTCTTTTTCTTTCGAACTTCATATGCTATCTCACGTATACTCGATTCTCCTCATAACTCCATTCTCCTCTCCCCTCCTGTCATCACCATCTCTCCACTTCTCCATCCTCGTTATCCCGCGCATCCTCTCCCTTGCGCCAGATCCACCGGTGCTCGTGCAAGGTGCAGGTGGTCGATTCCACGCAGCGCATTCTTGACGATACACAGACTCACTCTTGAGACACCTGACATGTATTCCCCCCCACCTTACCCTCCTCCAACCCGTGCTGCCAGATCTACCGGTGTTCGTTCAAGAAGCAGACGGGCGTGAGCCTCAAGAACATGATGGCGCACGGCGCCTTCCCCACGGAGCGCAATCTGCTATCCTCCGCGCAGTTCCTGCAGCAGGAGCTGCCCGTCCGCCTCGCCCACCGCGTCACGGAGCTCGAGAACCTCCCCTACGGCCTCTCCACCAAAGCCCCCGTGCTCAAGGTGCGTCTGGGTTCAAGATCAGCTGCTTCCCTCTGTCGCCCCTCCCCGGGCTCAAGGTGAGTGCTGCCCGTCCGCCTCGCCCACCGCGTCACGGAGCTCGAGAACCTCCCCTACGGTCTCTCCACCAAAGCCCCCGGGCTCAAGGTAAGCTTCTTCCCCAGTTCAAGGACATCCGGGGGTGCTTTCTCATTCCCTTGGGCTCTGTTCGCCCTCTGTCCTTTTCGCCCCCCTCATGCCCGCCCAGGTGCGCGACTGGTACGTGGACTCGTTCAAGGACATCCGCGGGTTCCTGGCTATTGAGAGTCGCGAGGAGGAGCTGCGTTTCACACACCTGCTGGCGCAAGTCAAGATGCGCCACAACAACGTCATCCCCACTGTGAGTCATCCCCACTGTGAGCCATCCCCACTGTGAGCCATCCCCACTGTGAGCCATCCCCACTGTGAGCCATCCCCACTGTGAGCCATCCCCACTGTGAGCCATCCCCACTGTGAGCCATCCCCACTGTGAGCCATCCCCACTGTGAGCCATCCCCACTGTGAGCCATCCCCACTGTGAGCCATCCCCACTGTGAGCCATCCCCACTGTGAGCCATCCCCACGGTGAGTGGCTGTGCATTGGAATGGAGAGGAAAGGCCGTTCCTCTTTGGACAATACAGCACGAGCTGCACTGCACCTGCCGCAGGTCAAGATGCGCCACAACAACGTCATCCCCACGGTCAGTGGGTGCTGCTGCCATGCCATATGTGCATGGTGCTTGTGTGCCTGTTGCTGTTGCCATGCCATGTGTGCATGGTGGTGGTCTTTGAACATCATCTTATATGCTGCTCGGTGCTCCTTGTTCAACGTGTACGGCATGGCACGACACACCATGGCATGGCATGGCATGGCACGGCATGGCAGATGGCGATGGGAATCAACGAGTTGAAGCAGGACCTGGGGCGCAAGGGGCGGCTGGACGACCTCCTCGAGATCCACCAATTCCTCGTACGTCCCTCCCCTGCCTGCCCTCACCTGCCTGCCTTCCCTGCCTGCCCTCCCTGCCTGCCCTCCGTGCCCTCATTGCTCTGTCTCCCCTGCCACCCCTGCTTGCCCTGTCCTGACTGCCTGCCCCTGTCACCCTGCCTTTAACTGCCGCTTTGCCCTCGTTTCCCACCAAGTCACCACTGCCTTCACTGCCACACCACTGCTATCACTGCCACCCCTGCCACCTCACTGCACTCACTCCCCTCGCCCCTGTCCCCTGCCTTTACTGCTGCCCAGCCCTCGTTGCCCACTCCCTGTCACCATTATTATCACCTTCCCCCTCCCCTTCCCCTTCCCCACGCCCCTCCCCACGCCTTTTCTCCCTCCCCTTCCCCCTCCCCTCCCCCCCCCCTTTCCCCCTCCCCTTCCCCCTCCCCACGCCCTCCCCACGCACGCCCCTCCCAACTCCCCCTGCCCCCCCCCCCCACCAGGATCGCTTCTACATGTCACGCATTGGCATCCGCATGCTCATTGGTCAGCACGTCGCTTTGCACGACCCCAACCCGCCCCCCGACTTCAATGGGTGCGCCTCTCAACCCCCCCACTTCATTGGGTGCGCCCCTCACTCCCCACTGCATTGGGTGCGCCCCTCACCCCCCACTTCATTGGGTGCTGTCATAAAATATGTATTATATATATTCATGTAACTATTTGTAGTGTAGAATAGTGCAGAATAATTTTGTTCTTTGTTGGTGGTGCACCTTTAACTCTTGCGTTGTTTCTGTTTGTACTCTTCGCTCCACAGTGAATCCCCTCTTTTGGTCTACTTTCTCGACACTCTCTCATGCTATCTTCCTAAAACCCAAGTCCTGGCGTAACTTAGCCTCTCAACATGGTATTCAGCAAGCTATGCTCCTAGGCCTGCATTTATTTCAATGGCAGCCCTCTACGCTGGACCCGTCGCTGCCCCGCTGATCCGTCGCGCCCCCGCTTTCCCCGTCATGACTGTCGCGGGATCCTATGCGACGGTCGTGACAACTAGCGCGCTGGTCGCCACGGCCCCGTTCGCCAGCCCGCTGCCTCGTCACTCCGTCGCCCCCCTGCTCGTCGGCCCTGCTGCTGCTGCCGCTTAGCCGCGCCCCCGTCCGCCCCCTCTGCTCTTCCCCCCTCGTCCCGGCCCGGCCCTCTCTCTCCCTCCTCCTCGCTTGCCCTCTCCCGTTTAGTGTTACGCCAAGCATGGTGCGTAGCGAGAGAGGGGAGAGGAGGTGGTGGGCGGTGGCTGAAGCTGCTGGTTCACGGGCGACTGGAGCAACCGTCTCACTGGCGACTGGAGCTGCTGGCTCCAAACCTCCCCCCCAAACCTCCCCCCCACAGCGGCAGAGGCCGCCAGGAGGGCAGGCAGGGCAAGCACGGCAAGCACCAGCGCTCTGGTCATCGCTATGCGTAGGATCCCGCGACAGTCACGACGGGGACAGCGGGGGCGCGACGGATCAGCGGGCAGCGACGGGTCCAGCGTAGGGCCGCCATTGAAATAAATGCAGGCCTAGGAGCGTAGCTTGCTCAATACCATGTTGAGAGGCTAAGTTACCAGTGGAGAATTTGCGCTCTTCTCTGCTTGTCTACCTCCGTTTCCGTCCCCCCTCCTCCTCTCCCCCACCTGCTCTGCTCACAGGCTCATCTGCACCAAGGTGCCACCAATGGATGTGGCGCGCAACGCAGTGGAGGATGCACAACCTCACCCCCTCCCTCCTTTGCCCTGTCGTTTCCACTCTTCTTCCCCCTTCCTCTCATCCCCCCTTCCCCCAACTGTAACCAGGCTCATCTGCACCAAGGTGTCGCCAGTGGATGTGGCGCGCAATGCAGTGGAGGATGCACGGTCGGCATGCATGCGCACGTACGGCTCTGCGCCAGAGGTGGAGATTTACGGCGACCCGGACTTCACATTCGCGTGCGTGCTTGCGCTCACACTCATCTATTGTGACTCGTCATGCATGCACGTGTGCTCACACTCATCTATGGTGACTCGTCATGCATGCACGTGCGCTCACATGCATACGTGAACCTACTCATGCCCACACACAGCATGCATGCGCACGTATGGCTCTGCACCTGATGTGGAGAGATACGGCGACCCTGACTTCACACGTGCGTATTGTTCTGGGCTGCACGCGTGATGCATGCATGTCACACTCATGCCCACACACGGCATGCATGCGCACTTATGGCCTGGCGCCTGACGTGGAGATTTATGGCGACCCTGACTTCATGCTCTCACATGCTCTCACATGCTCTCACATGCTCTCACATGCTCTCACATGCTCTCACATGCACTCACGTGCGCTCGCGCGCATGCACGCATACACACAGGTACTCACACATGCACAGATGCACTCGCGCACGCACACACACATGCATGCATGCATGCACCCATAACAAGAAACGAAACTCCTCTTTCTTTGTGATGGCTCTACCATTCTACCCTGTATCAAACTCAGGCTCTTTTACCCATCCCACCCCACCCATTTGAATTCCTTTGCACCGCACTGCACTGCAGCTACGTGCCAACGCATCTGCACCAGATGGTGTTCGAGCTCTGAAAGAACTCCCGTGCAGGAGTGTTGACCCATCACTTTCCGCCATCCCATTTCCTCCCATCTCACCCATCCGCACGCTTTGCACCGCACTGCACTGCAGCTACGTGCCGACCCATCTGCACCAGATGGTGTTTGAGCACTGCAAGAACTCCCTACGCGCAGTGCAGGAGCATCATCCCCTCAAACCCCCCTCCCCCATCCCATTTACTCCCACCCCACCCATCCGCACACCTTTCCACCCCACTGCAGCTACGTGCCAACGCATCTGCACCAGATGGTGTTTGAGCTGTGCAAGAACTCCCTACGCGCCGTGCAGGAGCGATTCGCCGATGCTGACACAGACCCGCCGCCCATCCGCGTGGTGGTGGCGGATGGGATTGAGGATGTGACCATAAAGGTATGTCGGTGGTGCTGGGATGTGGTTATAAGGGTGCAAATAGGTGTGTCTATCTTGAAATATATGTGTGTATGCGTGTGTGTGTATATACATGTATGTATACATATGTATGTGTGTGTGTGGGTGGTGTGCAGGAAAGGAGATATTTCATGTGAAGATGCCGGTTGAAGTGTGTGCTGGCAGTGCTATCCCTCACCACAGCGCACCACAGTCCACTCACGCCCCATCCCACCTCTCCTCCTGTCCCTTCAAATTCTGCACTATAATAGTTTCTCGCTTGCCTCCACGCCCTTCCCCCCTGTGCGGTGCGCTTTCCCACCCTTTCATGTGCACCCTTCCACTGCAGATATCGGATGAAGGAGGGGGCATCCCGCACAGTGGCCTACCGCGCATCTGGACGTACCTATACCGCACGGCACGCTCGCCTGCTCCCCATTGTGATGTGTGCCTTCCCGCTTCTGCTGTATCCCCTTTCTCCCTTCCTCAACCCACCCCACCCTCTGCAGATATCGGATGAAGGAGGGGGCATCCCGCGCACTGGTCTACCGCACATCTGGACGTACCTTTACAGCACGGCACGCTCGCTTGCTGTCACCTCTCTCCCTCACCACCACACCCTCTCCCCTCCCCCCACCCTGCCAGATATCAGATGAGGGGGGTGGCATCCCGCGTAGTGGCCTACCCCGCATCTGGACATACCTCTACAGCACGGCCCGCTCGCCTGCTGCTGGTGGTGCTCTGCAGGACACACCCTCCATCATGTGCGTGCCAGTGGTGGGGGGTTGTGGGGGGACGGGTGGGAGGAGGGGGGTGTGTGTGGGGTGTATGTGATGTGTGAGAGAGGTGATGTGCATGCCGCTGGTGCGCTGCATGACACACCTTCCATCATGTTTTTGCTGCTGGTGGTGGTGGGGTGTGTGGGGGGTGTGTGTGGAGTGGGGTGTGTGGGGGGGCGCTGCTTCTACCAAATGTGTTCCTCTAGAACTCCATTCACTCTACATCCTTCTTCCATTTGGCATCCACCTCCACCTTCCACACCATCCACACACTCCATTACCAGGACGTGTGCTTTGCACATGTTTGCTTGTTTTGACTGTTATTGTGCTGCGTGTGCTTGAATTGAGCAGGGCGGGCTACGGCTACGGTTTGCCAATCAGTCGGCTGTATGCACGCTACTTTGGAGGCGACCTGCAGGTGGTGTCTATGGAGGGCTATGGCACAGACGTCTACCTCCACCTCAACCGTCTCGCCAATGTGCAAGAACCCCTGCCCTAAATAAGGTGTGGATGGCTAATGTGTAATATACCCTAATGTTAACGTTGGAGGCTAAGCACGCATCCACTTTGCCACATGGTTTTGGGCAATGAAATACTAAACAGATGCTCACTATAATTGCACCATCCAATTATCTAACAATATAGGACGATTGCTCAGCAGGAAGGGCCACTGTACGCGGTAAGCCAATAAGTTCCGGTGATGCTGGACCCAACCCATGTCGGCGTTACGAGGTCATGCGACGCCGCACTGTTTGCCTGACGTTAACTTTCTGTCGCAGTCCTTCCGAACCAATCGAATTATTTGGAATGTTCCGAGCTTCTCCCCCAACCCACCAAGCTGATGCCCACCGTTTGTCGTCGTCTGCTCGTCGCAACAGCAGAGGAGCTGCAGCGAGGCTTCCTTGAACCGTTTCGTACAGCGACCAAACATTAGTTGCGAATCGCACACCGCTGAACTTGTCAGTCGCACAGCCCAACACACGCGCCGTCGCAGTCGCAGTCGAGGTCAAATAAACGAAAGCAAGTGCGTACAGGCGTGGAAAATACGCCAGGCACACACTCTCACAAATCCCGTACTCTCGTCTTTTCCTCAGCTCCTTTGATTATCTATTTAGAACCTAACATCCAAATTCGTATTCTCATCGCTCACCAAAGCTTGAAATTTGAGGTCTGCAACTGGAAGTCGAATGGAGGTCGATTCGGACAAAGGCCTCGACGTTTTAGCACCGTGTTATTCCGAGCAATTTGCTACAAGAGATACCACTGAACCGCGAGTAGTAGTAATAGGCCGTAAGCACAAAGCGGCGCGTTCGTCGATTCCTAGTCGCAAGCGGCGCTGCGTGCAGTCTTCCTCCGGCGCGGCGCACGCTAGCGCGGTTCCCTCCGCGAACCCCCCTTCCCCGAGCGACGATCCGCTTGGCGCGGAGCGGCAGTACCGCGGAGTGCGGCAGCGGCGGTGGGGGCGGTGGGTTTCGGAGATCCGCGAGCCACGGCGGGGTTTGCGCATCTGGCTGGGGTCGCACAGCAGCGCGGAGCAGGCGGCGCGAGTGTACGACGTCGCCGTGCGACTGCTGCGAGGTAACGGCGCGATCCTGAACTTCCCGGACGACCAGCGCGAGGTAAGGCGCGGCGTGTGTGGCGAGGAGTGAGGGCAGGGAGGTGAGGCGAGGAGAGGCAGGTCGAGCGGGAGGTGGGAGACCAGAGCACTAGGAAGCGCTTTTTATTCAAGCATGACGAGTCCTATTGTGGACAAGAGGTGACATGTCGGCTTTCGCTCGCTCCTTCTCACCAATCTCCTTGCCGCGCCAACCGACACGTGTCCTCACTCCCACCCGCGCCACGCACCCCGCTGCACGCACTCATCGCGTCCCCCCGATCTCCCCATCGTCTCCCCGCCCGCTGTGCGCAGGTGCCTCTGCCTCCCGCCATCGCCGAGTCCCTTATCCACGCCTGCGCGGCCCTCTCCGCCAACGCGCCTGTCTCCGCCAACGCGCCTCTCTCCGCCGACGCGCCTCTCTCCGCCGATGCGCCTCTCTCCGCCGACGCGCCTCTCTCCGCGCCTGACTCACAGCGTCCCGCTGTCAGCGCCGCTGCCCTCTCCGCCCCTCACGCGCTGCCTGCTGCTGCCGACACAGGCGAGTATTGCGCTGCTCTCGCTGCCCCTGGTCTGCTCCAGTCGCCCTCGCGCGTGGAAGGAGAGGCGAGGCCGAAGGAGGCAATGGGCTTGGCTGTTGCGGCGGCTGTGATGCGCAGTGGAGCGGGCGGCATTGGGACGTGTGGCAGTGGGGCAGGCGGCACTGTGGGCAGTGGTGGCGAGGAGGAGCGAGTGGAGGAGGAAGTGGTAGAGGAGATGGAGGAGGATCAACAGGAGATGCTGCAGCAGCAGCAGGATGAGCAGCAGGCGAAGGAGCAGGAGGTGTGGGGGCATGAGTTGGAGACGTTGCTAGCTTGCGAGCAACAGATTAGGCAGCAGGTGGCGGAGGAGCAGGGGGCGGAGGAGCAGGTGGCGGAGGAGCAGGGGGCGGAGGAGCAGGTGGCGGAGGAGCAGGGGGCGGAGGAGCAGGTGGAGGAAGAGCAAGCGGCGGGGGAGCAGGTTGGGGGGGAGCAGGTGGGGGGGAAGCAGGTGAGGGGGGAGCAGGTGGGGAGGGAGCAGGTGGGGGAGGAGCAGGTGGGGGAGGAGCAGTCGGGGGAAGAGCGGGTGGAAGGGGAGCAGGCGGGGCAGGTTGATTGGTTGCTGGCATGCGAGCAGCTGCCAGTTGATGAGTTCACCACGTGTGATTCCCAGGTTGCTCTGCTCGCATGTGATGCTGGTGGCCATGATGGTGGTGATGCTCGTGCCACACTTGCTGCTCATACCCTTTCTGCTCACTCGCTTGCTGCTGTGAGTGAGCCGGCGGTTGGGGCTGGGGAGGAGAGAGGGCGCGGAGGAGTGGCAGCGATGGGAGTGAAAGCGAACGTTGGAGCTGCCAGCCTTTCCTTGCCACCCACCCAGCCAAACAACTGCACCACCAGCAGCAGCAGCACCACCATCAGTACCAGCAGCATGACGAGCAGCAGCAGGCACAGCGACAGTGACTGGCTGTCGTCCCTGCCGCCGCACTCTCCCTCCTCCTCCATCCCCTCGCCTGCGTTCACCAATCCCTCCCCTCCCCCTCTCACTCTCTCTCCCCCTCACACTCCCTCGACTGCCCTCACTACCCCTCTCCCACTCACTCTCTCACATCTTCCCAGCGCATCACCACCATCTTCCCCCTGCTCCTCCCCATCCTCTCTTTCCTCTCCCACGTCCCCACTGCCTCCCCCATGCGCATCCCTGCACACGCCACCACCACCCACCCAGCACCTGAGGCACTGTGAGCCTTGCTCGCCCACTTCACCCCTGTCACCTATCACCTGCGCTAGCCCTGAGCATGCCCTAACCACCAGCCCTGCTGCTTCACCTACCGCTCATCCTCCGCCTCTTATCGCTGCCCCTGCTGCTGCTGCACCTGCTGCGGTTGCTGCTGTGCCACCACCACCCACGGCACCCATACCGGCACTGCATAGGCCACCTTTCTCCCCTCCCCCTCACCGCCCTCGCCCTCCCCTCTCTCCCATCCACTGTCCGAATCACATAACCCACAACAACAGCAAGCCAAACAACAGCGCAAGGAACAGCAGCAGCAGCGTCTACAGCGGTGAGATGACCCCCACGCTCACAGTGCAGGCCATGGCGCATCTCATCTCGCCTCTTCCCCTCCTCCAGCTCCCCCTCCCGCCGTTGAACTCCCCCTCCCCCCTGCCCTCCCCCGCCCTCGCCCGCTCCCTCCTGCTGCACTTCGGTTCCGCCTTCGCCTGCCGCCGTGCCCCCACCCCTCCCGTCCCGCTCCCCCTCCCCCTCCACTCCTTCCTCTCCCCAATCGTGATTCAAGGCAGCTTGTTTACTGCAGCAGGCATGGAGTGGTGGCTCGAGCGAGCAGAGCAGCATATCCAAGAAGACCAGCCATGACGGTGGCGCATCCATGCCAGCTTTTCTCCATGCCATGTTATTCCTGCTGCCGAGCATGGAGCACAGAGACGACAACTTCCGTTGATTTATTCGTGGTGCTCCTCTCAGAAGTGAAGGCGTACATACTCGATCTTGGCTAATTCGGACTGGCGGGTTCGGCCTTGCTGATTGGTCAGAAGCACAACTTGCTGCTGTGGAAAGGTTAGAGTGCGTGTCGCTATAGTGCTAGTTGTGCTTCTGACCATGAAGGAGAATTTGTCTAGTGAACTTGTTGAATATATTGGTACATGTTGAATTTGTTTGATCTGTTATGTTTATTTTATAACCTGGCCTTGTACACGCGGTTCCCTGGTGTCCTCGCGATATTTTCCATCCACTTTTCGCGCAAGATGTGGCCTGACGTGCTTTGGACCTTTCTGCGCTGGAACCCCCCGTAATCTTCTGTACGCGATATCACTATCTTCGCGAGAAGCTGTGATCAAAATCACGCCTTTTCCCACATCACCCCGTCTCCCTCCGATTCTCAAATACCCAATTCTCATCTCACACCATTTCCTCATTCAACGCTGCTGTTGCTGCTCATAACATCTGCTGCCGTGTCCAACTCACGCGACCCGGAGGTCTATGCGCCTTCGAGTCGCGCTTCCCAGCCTACCGAATCTCCGCATTCGAGTCCCCACCATGGCTGACGTCATAAGGGGACTCAACAGACCGCACGGCACGCAGCAGCACGCGGCGGCACTTGCGCCGCGCCGCGCGGCTCCGTCGGCCGCCCCCGCGCGGACCGCTCAGGCGCTGCCATTTCCGACTGGCCTCGCCTCGCCTCTCCTCGCTCGAGCCGCTCTCCCGTTAGCGTCGCGACTCTGCTTCGCTGCTGCCCCCGCCGTCATCACCCCCGCCGGCTGCTTTCCCCGCTGCTCATCCGCCCCTCACGCGCGCACAGGCTTTACCCGCGACCCTTCGTTTCCCGCGGAGTGGTCCAGACGGGGCACACCTGCTTTGCTCTCCGCGTTCCGCCCGCGCGGAGCATGCCGCGCGCAGGCGCACGATAGCGCGGCTTCTGTGTCGACTCCAGAAAGTTCCGCGGCAGCTCCCGCGGGGGAAGGCTCCGCGGAGCGCAGGGATGGCGGAGCGGCGGAAGCGGCGGACGCCGCGGGGAGCGCGCAAGGGGAGCCGTTTTTGGTGCTCAACTTCTACCACTTTGCTGACGTGGAGGATGCCCATGGTGACGTGGAGCGGCACCATGCGTTCCTACAGGTGCGGTTTGAGAATGCGGTGTAGTGGGGAAGGAAATGAACAAGTTAACGTCCTCGTCAACGTTAACGTTAACGTCAATGTCAAGGTGTACCACTGCAGTGGTCAATGTGGTGTGCCCAGCTCAGCGCCTCACCTGTCACACTGAGTTAGCGCTGGTCCTTGCACTCTGTCTTTCCCCTCCCTCCCTTCACTCTCTCCCTTCCCTTCCCTGCCTGCCTACCGATCTCTCATCTTGCATTCCCGCATGTGCGCATGCGTGTGTGTGTGTCAGGAGCGGGACATCCGAGGGCGGATATACATCAGCCACCAGGGCATCAACGCGCAGGTGAGTCACCGGGGGATCACGGAGCAGGTGAGGCAGGCAGGAGCGGGTGAGGCATGGGGCATGGGAGGTGGTGGTGCAGGGGACAGGAGCACGGGTGTTGGTGGTGCAGATGTGGGAGTGACGTGGCATGGCCCAACGGTGCAGTGGAGCATGCATGGGTCAAGAAGACTCGGAGCTCAGGATACAAGATTCATGGCTCATGGTTCAAGATTCAAGGTTCAGGGTTTAATATTCAAGGTTCAGGGTTTAAGATTCAAGGTTCAGGGTTTAAGATTCGGGGCTCAGGGAAAGAGTCAAAACGGTTCTACACAATTTTCATCAAAGAGTGAAGTCACGTTTGTTCGCATCGTCCTTCTCCAGCACCACACTGTACCGTTCAGCTGTTCGACTTGCAAGAATGTAGCCTTTGAGAAGGGGAAAGGCAAGAGGTTGCGGGCGAGGGCAAGAGCGAGAAGTAGTGGGAGAGAGAGGGAGAGCGAGAGGGAGAGTTTTTGGCTATCATTGCACTCTATACGAGCCTGTGCCATGCGGCACTCTCTTGAAACCCCTGCTCGCCTCGTTCCCCACGTTCCATGTTTCAACTCACTACATCGCATCACCATCATCTCAGCAGTTCAGCCTCGTGCACTTGTCTGTTTTTGAGTCGACTGAAAAGTTCTCCTCGTTCCCCACGTTCCATGTTCCAACTCACCGCATCGCATCATCTCATCTCAGCAGTCCGGCCTCGCGTGCTTGTCAGTCTCCCGTTCCCCTCTCTGTCGTCTCTCCCAGCTCAGCGGCCCAGCCAGCCACCCACGTGATGGATGGAGTATGCCGAGTGGGTGTGCGGTGACGAGCGCTTTGCCCCTATCTGTGCCCAAACCCTCCTCTTCCTCTCCGCATTCCCTCCTCACACACCTCTCCTTCCGCGCAGCTCAGCGGGCTGGCCTCACACGTGTTGGAGTACGCAGACTGAGTGCGCAGCAACCCCTCACTCCCCCACCCATCCCACTCGTCAATCTCCCTTTCCTCGCCCCACCCATCCCACTCGTCAATCTCCCTTTCCTCTCCCCACCCATCCCACTCGTCAATCTCCCTTTCCTCGCCCCACCCATCCCACTCGTCAATCTCCCTTTCCTCTCCCCACCCATCCCACTCGTCAATCTCCCTTTCCTCGCCCCACCCATCCCACTCGTCAATCTCCCTTTCCTCTCCCCACCCATCCCACTCGTCAATCTCCCTTTCCTCGCCCCACCCATCCCACTCGTCAATCTCCCTTTCCTCTCCCCACCCATCCCACTCGTCAATCTCCCTTTCCTCTCCCCACCCATCCCACTCGTCAATCTCCCTTTCCTCGCCCCACCCATCCCACTCGTCAATCTCCCTTTCCTCGCCCCACCCATCCCACTCGTCAATCTCCCTTTCCTCGCCCCACCCATCCCACTCGTCAATCTCCCTTTCCTCGCCCCACCCATCCCACTCGTCAATCTCCCTTTCCTCGCCCCACCCATCCCACTCGTCAATCTCCCTTTCCTCTCCCCACCCATCCCACTCGTCAATCTCCCTTTCCTCGCCCCACCCATCCCACTCGTCAATCTCTCTTTCCTCTCCCCACCCCTCACATCGTCTCGTCCTTTCTCACAGCTCAGCAGGCCAGCCTCACCTCACACGTGTTGGAGTAGTACGCAGACTGGGTGTGCAGCGACCCCTCACTCCCCCATCCCTCTTTTCAGTCCTCCGTTTCTCTCCCCATCACATCATCTCGTCCTCCGTTTCTCTCCCCATCACATCATCTCGTCCTCCCTCGCAGCTCAGCGGCCCAGCCTCACACGTGAATGCAGCGCGCCGAGTGGGTGCTAGGTGACTTTTGAGTCGACTCAAAAGTCACCTCGACTCAAAAGCCACCTCGACTCAAAAGTCACCTCGACTCAAAAGTCACCTCGACTCAAAATTCACCTCGACTCAAGAGTCGCCAGCCTCACACGTGAATGGGTGCGCACGCAGAGTGGGTGCGCAGTGCGCAGCAACCCCTGACTCCCCATCCCACTCGCCATTCTCTCGTTCATCCCCCCATCACATCACATGCATCCACACACACACCGCTCCTCCCGCGCAGCTCAGCGGCCCAGCCTCACATGTGATGGACTATGCACACTGGGTGCGCAGCGACCCGCGCTTTGCGGGTGTGCCGCTGCAGCTGTCGCCCTCCCCCATCGGCCACGCCTTCCCGCGCCTCCGCCTGCGCTACAAGCCCGCCCTCGTGCAGGTGAGAGTTAAGCCCGCCCTCGTGCAGGTGGGCTGCCTTGCCTGTGTCGCACTTTACGTTCCTGCACCACAGGGATAGCTGTCGCTCTCCCCTATCGGCCATGCCTTCCCGCGCCTCCGCCTGCGCTACAAGCCAGCGCTTGTGCAGGTGGGTTGTCTTGTCTTTTCTTGTCTGCACCACACTGTACCTTGTGTTGTACCTCGTGCAGGTGGGGCATCCTCCCTCTCTTCCCCATTGCTTCCCCACCGGCAGGTTTTGCCCCTGTCCCACGTGCTCGCCTACACATCCCGCCCCATGCTCTCCCCACTCCGTGCTTCCCTACTCCCATCCTGCTTTTCCCACAACTCAGGTCGCGGGAGGTATGGAGCAGCTGTATGCTCATCTATGTGCTGCCACGCCCCTGTCTCCTGCTGAGTGGCGCAGCAAGATCGACCAGATGCAGCGGGGGGAGGAGGGGGAGGGAGAGAGGGAGGGGGAGGGGGAAAGTGGGCCAAGGGGGTGGGGCGAGGGGCGTGGGGAGGAGGCAGTAGCGCGCACCAAGAAGATTCTGCTGCTGGACGTGCGCAATGGTGGGTGCCGCGTGCAATGGTGGGTGGTTGCTGGTAGGCACGCGGCTGTCTGTTTGAAGTGGTGAGTTTGCCCAGCGATGTGTGCGACAGTGATTGCTGTCTGTGTGCGACAGTGATTGCTGTCTTCAATCACGTGAGAAGGGCCTCTGTGTCTTCAATCACGCGAGAAGGGCCTCTGCGTCTTCAATCACGCGAGAAGGGCCTCTGCGTCTTCAATCACGTGAGAAGGGCCTCTGTGTCTTCAATCACGTGAGAAGGGCCTCTGTGTCTTCAATCACGTGAGAAGGGCCTCTGTGTCTTCAATCACGTGAGAAGGGCCTCTGTGTCTTCAATCACGTGAGAAGGGCCTCTGTGTCTTCAATCACGTGAGAAGGGCCTCTGTGTCTTCAATCACGTGGCCTCTGTGTCTTCAATCACGTGAGAAGGGCCTCTGTGTCGATGACATGAAACACCTTCAGAAACAGACCGTCCTTTGAGGCGCCTCAAAAGCAGAAACAGACCGTCCTTTGAGGCGCCTCAAAAGCAGAAACAGACCGTCCTTTGAGGCGCCTCAAAAGCAGAAACAGACCGTCCTTTGAGGCGCCTCAAAAGCAGAAACAGACCGTCCTTTGAGGCGCCTCAAAAGCAGAAACAGACCGTCCTTTGAGGCGCCTCAAAAGCAGAAACAGACCGTCCTTTGAGGCGCCTCAAAAGCAGAAACAGACCGTCCTTTGAGGCGCCTCAAAAGCAGAAACAGACCGTCCTTTGAGGCGCCTCAAAAGCAGAAACAGACCGTCCTTTGAGGCGCCTCAAAAGCAGAAACAGACCGTCCTTTGAGGCGCCTCAAAAGCAGAAACAGACCGTCCTTTGAGGCGCCTCAAAAGCAGAAACAGACCGTCCTTTGAGGCGCCTCAAAAGCAGAAACAGACCGTCCTTTGAGGCGCCTCAAAAGCAGAAACAGACCGTCCTTTGAGGCGCCTCAAAAGCAGAAACAGACCGTCCTTTGAGGCGCCTCAAAAGCAGAAACAGACCGTCCTTTGAGGCGCCTCAAAAGCAGAAACAGACCGTCCTTTGAGGCGCCTCAAAAGCAGAAACAGACCGTCATTTGAGGCGCCTCAAAAGCAGAAACAGACCGTCCTTTGAGGCGCCTCAAAAGCAGAAACAGACCGTCCTTTGAGGCGCCTCAAAAGCAGAAACAGACCGTCCTTTGAGGCGCCTCAAAAGCAGAAACAGACCGTCCTTTGAGGCGCCTCAAAAGCAGAAACAGACCGTCCTTTGAGGCGCCTCAAAAGCAGAAACAGACCGTCCTTCCCCGTGCATTGAGGTGTATTTTGAGGCGCCTCAAAATACACCTCAAGACCGTCCTTCCCCTTTCTCTCTCCCCCTTTTACCCCAAACCCCCTCTCTAGGCTACGAGTGGGACGTGGGCCATTTGGCCGAGGTTGTGCCCCCCCCGCTTGACAACTTCACACACTGCAGACCTTCCTCATCTCTCCTTCTCTCGCTCGCTCTCCCCTTCCCTCTCCCCCTCTCCCCCGCTTCTCCCACCAGGCTACGAGTGGGACGTGGGCCATTTGGCCGAGGTTGTGCCCCCCCCGCTTGACAACTTCACACACTGCAGACCTTCCTCATCTCTCCTTCTCTCGCTCGCTCTCCCCTTCCCTCTCCCCCTCTCCCCCGCTTCTCCCACCAGGCTACGAGTGGGACGTGGGCCATTTTGCCGGGGCTGTGCGCCCTCCGGTTGACAACTTCCGATCCACTGAGTTCGGCCTGCAGGAGGTGAGGGCTGGGCGGCAAGAGGTGTGAGGACTGGGCGGCAGGAGGTGAGGGCTGGGCGGCAGGAGGTGAGGGCTGGGCGGCAAGAGGTGAGGGCTGGGCGGCAAGAGCGCGGGAAGGTGTGTTCTGATGATGAGGGGGTGTGTGAGACGAGGAGGTCAGGGATACAAAAGAAGAGGTAGGATGAACGTGGGTTGTTACCTGGGGGGTTGGGGGTCTTATCTTAGCTGCACTGTGTGTGTCCGCCTGACTCAACAACCCTTTCCTGCCTGCCAACCCCCACTTATCCACAGGAACACACTGAAGCCACCACCACAGAAGAGCAGCAGCAGGAGGAAGAGGAGGCAGAGGGGCAGGGGGCATACGATCCGTTATCAGAAGCAGACAAGGAGGAGACAGAAGTGCTCATGTATTGCACGGGGGGCATCCGCTGTGATGTGTACTCCGCACTGCATGTGTGTTCTTCCCCCACAGGCCGACTCAACAACCCCTCTCCTGCCTGCCAACCCTCTCCCACTCGTTTCCAGGAACACACTGAAGCCACCACAGCAGAGCAGCAGCAGCAGCAGCTTCAGCAGCAACAACAGCAGGAGGAAGAGGAGGCAGGGAGGCAGGAGGGGGCATACGATCCGTTATCAGAAGCAGACAAGGAGGAGACAGAAGTGCTCATGTATTGCACGGGGGGCATTCGCTGTGATGTGTACTCCGCACTGCATGTGTGTTCTTCCCCCACAGGCCGACTCTACAACCCCTCTCCTGCCTGCCAACCCTCTCCCACTCGTTTCCAGGAACACACTGAAGACACCACAGCAGAGCAGCAGCAGCAGCAGCTTCAGCAGCAACAACAGCAGGAGGAAGAGGAGGCAGGGAGGCAGGAGGGGGCATACGACCCACTATCAGAAGCAGACAAGGAGGAGACAGAAGTGCTCATGTATTGCACGGGGGGCATCCGCTGTGATGTGTACTCCGCACTGCATGTGTGTTCTTCCCCCACAGGCCGACTCAACAACCCCTCTCCTGCCTGCCAACCCTCTCCCACTCGTTTCCAGGAACACACTGAAGCCACCACAGCAGAGCAGCAGCAGCAGCAGCTTCAGCAGCAACAACAGCAGGAGGAAGAGGAGGCAGGGAGGCAGGAGGGGGCATACGATCCGTTATCAGAAGCAGACAAGGAGGAGACAGAAGTGCTCATGTATTGCACGGGGGGCATTCGCTGTGATGTGTACTCCGCACTGCATGTGTGTTCTTCCCCCACAGGCCGACTCTACAACCCCTCTCCTGCCTGCCAACCCTCTCCCACTCGTTTCCAGGAACACACTGAAGACACCACAGCAGAGCAGCAGCAGCAGCAGCTTCAGCAGCAACAACAGCAGGAGGAAGAGGAGGCAGGGAGGCAGGAGGGGGCATACGACCCACTATCAGAAGCAGACAAGGAGGAGACAGAAGTGCTCATGTATTGCACGGGGGGCATCCGCTGTGATGTGTACTCCGCACTGCATGTGTGTTCTTCCCCCACAGGCCGACTCAACAACCCCTCTCCTGCCTGCCAACCCTCTCCCACTCGTTTCCAGGAACACACTGAAGCCACCACAGCAGAGCAGCAGCAGCAGCAGCTTCAGCAGCAACAACAGCAGGAGGAAGAGGAGGCAGGGAGGCAGGAGGGGGCATACGACCCACTATCAGAAGCAGACAAGGAGGAGACAGAAGTCCTCATGTATTGCACGGGGGGCATTCGCTGTGATGTGTACTCCGCACTGCATGTGTGTTCTTCCCCCACAGGCCGACTCAACAACCCCTCTCCTGCCTGCCAACCCTCTCCCACTCGTTTCCAGGAACACACTGAAGCCACCACAGCAGAGCAGCAGCAGCAGCAGCTTCAGCAGCAACAACAGCAGGAGGAAGAGGAGGCAGGGAGGCAGGAGGGGGCATACGACCCACTATCAGAAGCAGACAAGGAGGAGACAGAAGTCCTCATGTATTGCACGGGGGGCATTCGCTGTGATGTGTACTCCGCACTGCATGTGTGTTCTTCCCCCACAGGCCGACTCAACAACCCCTCTCCTGCCTGCCAACCCTCTCCCACTCGTTTCCAGGAACACACTGAAGCCACCACAGCAGAGCAGCAGCAGCAGCAGCTTCAGCAGCAACAACAGCAGGAGGAAGAGGAGGCAGGGAGGCAGGAGGGGGCATACGACCCACTATCAGAAGCAGACAAGGAGGAGACAGAAGTCCTCATGTATTGCACGGGGGGCATTCGCTGTGATGTGTACTCCGCACTGCATGTGTGTTCTTCCCCCACAGGCCGACTCAACAACCCCTCTCCTGCCTGCCAACCCTCTCCCACTCGTTTCCAGGAACACACTGAAGACACCACAGCAGAGCAGCAGCAGCAGCAGCTTCAGCAGCAACAACACGAGGAGGGGGCATACGACCCACTATCAGAAGCAGACAAGGAGGAGACAGAAGTCCTCATGTATTGCACGGGGGGCATTCGCTGTGATGTGTACTCCGCGCTGCTCCGACAGCAGGGCTTTAAGCGCCTCTACACGCTCGAGGGCGGCGTCGCCCGGTACATGCGCGAGCAGGGCGGCGAGCACTGGAACGGGCGGCTTTTTGTGTTTGACTCGCGGCTGGCTGTGCCGCCCAGGGATTATCAGGTCGGCGGGAAGGTGCTGCGGGCGGCGGAGGAGGGGGTGGAGAGGATTGGGGAGGTGTTGGGGGAGGTGATGATGGGGGAGGAAGTGGGGGAGGAGGAGGAGAGTGTAGGGTGTCAGAGGTGTGGAGGGCGGTTGGAGGAGGTGAAGCATCGCAACTGTGCCAACTCAGATTGCAACGCCCTCATTCTGTGAGACTCATTCATGTCTTGTTTGAGAGATGCTGTGACGGGCGTGGTGTCAGGCGCGTGGTGTCAGGCGCGTGGTGTGAGGGGCGTGGTGTGAGGATGCACTGTGGTGTGGAAACCATTGACGGGTCCTGGGTGGGATATGTTGTGCTGTGCTGTGCTGTGCTGTGCTGCGCTGTGCTGTGCTGTGCTGTGCTGTGCTGTGCTGTGCTGTGCTGTGCTGTGCTGTGCTGTGCTGTGCTGTGCTGTGCTGTGCTGTGCTGTGCTGTGCTGTGCTGTGCTGTGCTGTGCTGTGCTGCGCTGCATGTGCTGTGCCGTGCCGTGCCATGCCGTGCCGTGCCGTGCCGTGCCGTGCCGTGCCGTGCTGTGCCGTGCCGTGCTGTGCCGTGCTGTGCTACAGTGTGGTATGGAGGGGCTGATTTAGCGTGTGCCTCTGGAGTTCTGAGTCGTCATAGAGCAGTGTCTGCGTCTGCTCTGCATTCAATCCCTTGGCCCCTCATCTCCACCTGCTCCCTACCCCCTCCCTTTCCTTGCAGGTTCTGCTCCAAATGCGCCCAAGCAATGAATGGCGCCTGCAGCACAGAGTGCGCCGCTGCCCCCCGCCTGCGCCCCTTCCTCGTCCGCCCGGAGCCCTACCAGCGCCTGCACACCTACCTGCCCTCCGCGGCTCCCCCTCGCCCCCCGGGCTACGTGTCCCGCCGCGCCCTGAAGCGGCGAGCTCGCAAGGCCAGACGCCTTGCTGCTGCAGAGGCGGGTGAGGGGCAGGGGGCAGGTGAGGGGAGGGAGGTGGATCAAGAGACGGGTCGGGGGCGGGAGGTGGATCAAGAGACGGGTCGGGGGCGGGAGGTGGAGACAGCTGCTTGATTTCGCGATAGGCTTGTAGGGCTCCATGCCCCCTCCTCGCCCCCTCCTCGCCCCCCCGGGGTACATGTTCCCCCTTGCCCCCCGTAGTGCGTGTCTCGTCGCGCCCTCAAACGGCGGGCTCGCAAGCCCCCCCCCCACACCTGGCTGCTGCAGAAGGAGGTGAAGGGCAGGGGGGATTGAAGGGAGGGAGATGGGTGAGGGGCAGGACGTGGAGGTAGTAGCAGCTTGATTTCGTTACAAGGTGACCCCGTAGGGCTGTGTGAACTGAACACCATGCGATGCCACTGTGTCTTCCTCCAGCGCCCCTCCCCGTCCTCCCTTGCCCCCCGGGTACGTGTCCCCACGGGGTACGTGTCCCCACGGGGTACGTGTCCCCACGGGGTACGTGTCCCCCCGGGGTACGTGTCCCCCCGGGGTACGTGTCCCGCTGCACCCTCAAGCGGCGAGCTCGCAAGGCTTGACACCTCGCTGCGGCACAGGCGGGCGAGGGACAGGAGGTGGGTGGAATGAAGCGGGTGGATGAAGAGGGGCAAGAGATGGGTTGCGGGAAGGAGGTGGAGTGGAGGTCGCTGCTTGATTCCCCTGTGGGCTTGTACGGCTCTACATCCCCCCCTCGCCCCCCCGGTGTCATACGGTAGACATGGTGACGTACGGTAGACACGGTGGTGTCTGATTGAGAAAACTGGAAATGTCACAGGATATCTCTGAAACAAACTTACGGTGTTATCGTAGTAGTATTACGGTACTATTATTGCAACATGTGTCCCTTCGCGAGTGTAACAGATAGTAGCACGAATAGTCTCGTGTTTATTCACGTGACGCTACAGTAGAAGTACCATTCGGTTTAGTGAACAACAGGTACATTACCGAATATGTACTTTCCTGGGACTCAACCTTGTTCTCATAACTACCAGTACAGGAATTCCTACTACTTTACTAGGTAAGTCTCTACAAAGATCCTAGGGCTCTACTCAGCCCAACACGGGGGATAATGGTACCGTAACTCCCAACAGGTGCAAGCGTACCCCCCCCCCCCCCCCCCCCCCCCATACCAGTATTTGAACACCTCCCTTAAGGGGGGTATTTATCAGTACACCCTAGGGTGTACTGTGCAGGAGATTTCGGCATCTTGTCCTAATAACTCTCATGCACTCGACAGAGATTAGCCCTGACGATTTTGATACAAGGCTGATTGTGTCCGGTTTGGGCTAGGATTTAAACAATGATGTAATAAGTTCTGGTACATTTTTTGCATTGCATGTGTTCACGAGATTGAAGAATCAGCATAGTTTTATATCACAAGATGGGCCTCTCGCTCTCATCCTCCTCACTGCTTCCTGTTGAGTCCGCCTCAATCCTCGGTATGGCATCCGTGACTCGAAAGGCATCGAGAAAGTCCTTCTTGAGCTCGTGCAGTGCGCCACACACCAGCGAGTGCAGAGGCGGGCCGAAGTCGACGTCTGAGAGCTGCTGCATGCTGCCAAACACAATGCACTGCGAGTCCGGTGTGCAGACTGCAAGAGATGCGGTGAGCACGGGATGGGTGAGAGGAACGCAGAGGAGAAGACATGTGGTTGTGGGGACTGCAAGAGAAGAGGTGCGTGTGGGCAAGAGAAGAGGTGCGTGTGGGCAAGAGAAGAGGTGCGTGTGGGCAAGAGAAGAGGTGCGGATGGCCGTGTTGACACTCATGTAGCGCGGCGCCTTGTACTCTATCCTGCCCCTGCATGCACCCGAACCACGAGAGGGGCAATTCACAGGAGGGAGCCGTTGGAGAAGGAAAGAGGGGAGAAGGAAAGAGGGGAAGATGCAGAGTGTGGTGAGGTGAGCAGCGGGTGTGAGAGGGACGCGGAGGGCGGGGGACAAGAGGAAGGAAAGTCGGGTCCTCATGGAAGAGTATTCAATGCAGCGACAGAGACACAGCCCGCAAGATGCTAAGACACACACACACACACGGACCAAGGAACCGCCGACAGCGACGCCATTGTCAACTTCGCTTCTTGGACACATCCACCGAACCTCGATCCCGACTTCAGCCCTGGAGGATTTTGGTATTCACATACCATACCTGAAGCAGAAAGAACACGGGCATTAGCAACAATCCGGCAAGAAGAAACAACATCGACAGCAGCAGAGACAACATCGGCAACAACAGCAACACTTACAGCACCACTCGCGAGCTCTTCGACGGCACCAACCTTCATCGACAATGTCAGAATAGTGAAGGAAGGAAATGACTGAACTAGCAATCAGGTGGGTACAAGTAAGAAACCTAAAAGTGTTGTACCCTATATGAACTACCCCACTACAGCCTAGACAGACTATAGTGTATGAGTTTGACACACCCCCATAGACAAAGTGGGGGAGAACAAGAGGTCACAAGACCGGTCAAGAAAGGCAAAGCAAGCTCAGGGTGGATCACGACGTCACCACGCATTTTGAGCACAAGCAAATGGCCACAAGGCCAGTTCACATGCAGAGTTATATAAAGGAGAACAAGCAATACAGTGAACACAACCTAGCAAGTGTAAGCATGCAGGTATATGTATAAAGATCACAGTACAAGCAGAGTCAAGAAGTGAGCAAGGGAGGCTAAGTAGGCACAAGGCCTAGCATAGTACAAAGCGCTGATGATCACAAGGCTGAAGTGCCTTGGTAAAGATATCAGCAGTGTTGGCCTGAGTGGCCACGTAAGCAAGACGAAGCTGACCACACTGCTGCAACTCTAGAGCAAGGAAGTAGCGCAGAGCAATGTGCTTCGTTCTGTGCTCCAGTCTGTGCTCCTGACACAAGGCAATCATGGCCTTGTTGTCGACGTACAGAACTGGAGGAGAACGAGGCACCTCTCCCAAGTCGGTCAGCAGGTAGGTGAGCCAGCGTAACTCCTGTGCAGCCATGGCCCCAGCGTAGATCTCAGCCTCACAACCGGAGCTGAGAACAGAAGACGAGCGGGTAGACCGCCACGAGACAGAGCCGGAGCCAAGGCTGAAGGTGTAACCCTGTGACGACCGCTGCGTAGCCAAGTCGTCAACCCAGGAAGCGTCTGCGTGACCAGTGAGAACAACTCGAGCCCGTCCTCCAAGCACTGCACAAGTAGCGCAACACCCTCTTAGCTGCAGGTCATCAGGTACATGAGGCAGCCCACAAGCTCTGGATACGGGCCACTAGGCTCTACAGACTCGTCCGAAGGTGGAGCTGAGAGCGAGTGACCGGTAGGCAGAGGAGTGGACTGTGGCGAGGAGTACGTGAAGCCGAAGCACTGAAGGACCTGCTGCACCATATGTGACTGAGTCAAGGTAATGGTGCGCTGTGCTCTGTCCCGGGTGATCCGCAAGCCAAGATAGCTTGTGAGCTCACCCAGGTCTGTGCACGTGTGTCTCTTCTGCAGCTCCGACTTCCCGTGGGCGAGTGCCTTAGTGTCAGCAGTAGCGCAGAGGCGTGGCGCACACACCTGTAGAGCTGCAGGCCGGTGGCGCCGATGGCGTTGAGCACAGAGGCGTTGTGCACCACCACTACCGCCACACCCTTCTGCCTCACCCTCAGCATCAGATCCGTGTGTGTCATGGCACTGTGGGAGACGGTGCATAGGCAGGGCACTGGGGGGAGAGAAAGAGGGAAGGGGAGTAGACGGTGTAAAAGAAGTGAAGTTGAGGAGAGTGCGGTGAGTGCACCTGCTGCACTGAATCACGGCACCTCACATGCCATCACACACGTGACTCCATTGCCCCCCCCATGCCGTCACACACATGACTCCATTGCCCCCCCCATGCCGTCACACACATCACCCCATGCTGCCACAGCAACAGCCATGCGTAGTAGCACCTGTGCATGGCAGGCCATGCGAGGCACTTACGCACCCGAAGGGGTCGCCGACAACGAGGAAGGCGACGTCCTCCTTGGCGGCCAGCTGCAGCAGGTGGGCTGCGCGGCTCTCCACCATCTCCCTGTCCGCCACCTGCACCTCCCTCCCGTACACCTCTTCCTGCTCGCCCATGAGGACGCAGGGGATGAGGGCGAGAGGGGAAGCAAGAGCGTTGAGAGAGGCGCTCTCGCAGCACCTTGCTGTTTGTGCTGTGCTAAGCATGAGGGGTAGGGTAGGCATACGATACGAGACTTCGTGGGGTGTGGGGGGAGGGAGGGTGTGGGGGGAGGTAGGACAGAGAGAAGCAAAAGAGGGCAGTGGAATGGGAGCACGGAGCAGAGAGCATGATGGCATCAAGTGAACCCAGCTCTGCCACAGAGCACTCATTCAAGCTGATGCACCATCAATGCGCCAGTTACCAGTACATTATGCAAACGATGACTATCCCTGCAGCCCCAGCAGTGCGCACCAGTTTGCTCCTGTCAACGAGCAGCATGGAGGTGTAGGCTTCGAGGAACACGTGTTGGCAGCGCCGCATGGCGGCCAGCCCCCTGACGGTGATGTCACTCTCGTCCCACAGCCCCACGCCCACCACGTACAGCATGCTGCCCCCTGTCCACCACCAATACTGCTGCTGCTGCTCGTGGTGGTGCTCCTGCTGCCGCTGTTGATGGTAATGCTGCTCCTGCGGCTAGTGGTGCTGCTGGTGCAGTAGTGACACCTGCAGGAGGCATGCACGGGGGAAGGCGGGAGAGGGGGAGTGTGGCAGACAGGGGCTTAGCATGGTGGATGGGATGGGATGGGATGGGATGGGATGGGATGGGTGGGGATGGGACGGGATGGGATTGAATGGGATGGGATGGGATGGGATGGGATAGGATGGCATGGGATGGGATGGGATGGGATGGGATAGGATGGGATGGGATAGGATGGGATGGGATGGGATGGGATGGGATGGGATGGGATGGGATGATTCGAGAAGCAAGGGTGTAATGGGGTGGTTGGAAGGAAGGGGCAGCAAGAGGGGTGCTGATGGAGGAGGGGTGCGAATGGAGAGTGGGTGTGCTGTGCTGCAGTTGCTGCCGCATGGTTACAGGCGGATGCTCAGGAGGCAGCATCCGAGGATCATGGCGGGCGGGCTGCACGGGACGCACATCAGCAGCATTCCCCCTCTCTCTCTTCCCTCCCCCCCCCACACACCCCACTGCCCTGCCTCTGCCGAATTTCTCTCTCATTGATCGCCCACCCCCTTCCCCCAGTTCTTTGAATCAGCACAATCCCCCCTATATGCATCCCTCCCGACCCGCCCACCCCCTCCCCCAGCAGGGCGTGAGGCGGCGGCATGGCCCACGGTGGGATGCGAGGGGCGAAAAGAAGCGATGGAGGGACGCCAACGGAGGTGAGCAGGGTGGGCGGCGCGGAAGCCGACAAGGCAGGTAAATCGTTGAGGCAGGTAAAGCGGGGAGGCAGGTAAAGCGGGGAGGCAGGTAAAGCGAGGAGGCAGGCAAAGCGGGGAGGCAGGCAAAACGGGGAGGTGGGAGGCCGGAAGGCAGAGAGGCGGGAGAGGGATGAGGGCTGGTGGCGAGAAGCACCAGCGTCTTAGGCGCCCGCGCCAGCGTCGACGGTGCGAGCGCCCACGCACCAGCGCCTTAGGCGTCCGCGCCCACGGCGCGCTAGTAGCTAGTAGCCTAGGCACCGCTGCCCTACTAGGCGCCAGCGCCCGCCTACGCAAGCGCGTTAGACCCCAGCTCTAGGTGCCAGCGGTTTAGGAGAGCGTCTTTGGCGCCAGCGTGATAGGCGCCAACGCGGTCTCATGGGACGCGCTTCTCATGTCACTCAGCTTCACGCATACTACTTTTAACGACGTTAAAATAATTAACGGGAGTACTTAACTCACAGGTATTTTCTTGTCTCGGCGTACGTGACTGGCGCTTCACGGGAGCTTGATCAAGCGCTTGTCGCGGGGCATCACTACGAATTGGGAAACATGACGAGGAGGTGGAGTGTTGGGTTCAAGGTTTAAGGTGGTAAAAACTTAAAATACAATGCAAATTGGATTATGATGGAAAATTTAACATCAACACCATGAAGGTGTGCTTCAATGTACACTATTCCCCCGCCCGTAGGCAGCCGCCGGAGTGAGCCGAGGTTTCCATTGTATATGTCGGAGAAGTTCAAGGGGGGCGAAAAGAATCATCAAGGAGCCAAGAGGTGCGGAGATCCAGGTGAATGGGAAACGTTGGGGGAAAATAGGAAGAACCGGATACTTTTGGCGCGCGCGTACGCATTTCTTTGGGGATTGTTTGGTGCGGCACCAGAGGAAGATTGTAAAATCGATAAGAAACGGAGCCAAGATGAGTTGAAGGGCTTCAAATCTTATCGTGGGAGAGTCCTGAAATTTGTTTTCACAACGAAAGCTCCAAATGGCTTTGGTGGTTGCACCGACAAGGAGGCTCCAAGGGGCGGATTGGCCGGCGCGTGGGTGTAGGTGGAAAAGGGTGAGTTATGAGGGGGTGGAGAGCCCTAGGTGGCGTCGGGCGACAGTGCGGAGAGCAGTAGTGATAGCGAGGGCGACACCTCAGTCAAAGAAGATGTGGGAGATGGTCTCTAACGTCCTCGAGGTACAACGTGGACAGACGCTGCAGTCATTGGCAAACTAGAAGCGAGCACGGGAGGGGAGCGTGCGGGTGTATAGGCGGTGTTACAATCCCATTGGGGACTTAGGGAGGATCTACTCATGATTGATTAGCGGATGAAGTGTTATAATGACGCCTGTCAGAGTGAATGTAAAATGGCAGAAGCGACTATAACAAGCAAACACAAGGTTTATATAAGACTACTAAGTAATGCGAAACGAGCTAGCCATGCACTCTAAGGGTTAAATTCCCCTATTACATCGAGATGTTGCGTAAAGATGAAGTACTGCAAGGCGCGCTCGAGATCCAACATGTTCTCTGCCACTGGCTTGCGGAAGTTATGCCAGTTGGCTGGCGATGTAGGAAAGGTCGGGCTTGCAGGTGACAGAGGTGAACATTAGGCAACCTAGTTGCTGCTGGTAGAGGTGGAGTCCTTCGGGTGACAGTGGTTTGTTGTCCGGTTTGTGGTTGGATCCAGGCGAGCATTAGGGAGTTGAGAGTGGTGCATGTGTGATGTTGAGATTTGGCGTAATTAGAAGATGAGAGTTGGATGGCTTCAGGAGCGTAGGAGACGTTGAGACCTAGGAACTGCATCATGTTGTGATTGGTGGTGATGTCGACGCGCTGGCCCAGGTTCCTTTCGAACTGGTCGATTAGTGTGTTGCTCGTTCCTGTACACAACATGTCATCAACATATACGGCGAGGAGGATGTAGTCGCTGCAGAAGTGGAGGCGGTACATTCCGGGGTCATGTGGCAGCTGTTTGAAGCCGATGTCCAGTAGGATCTTGTGTAGATGTTGCTGGCATAGTAGCGGTGCCTGCTTAATCCCGTAGAGGGACTTCTTCAGCTGGCAGACCATAGAGTCTCCTTCCCCATATGTATGCGGTTGCTCCAAGAAGATTACCACGTCGACTAGTGCGTATAGGAAAGCATTCTTTACGTAGATTTGTCGGAGTGGTAGGTGCTTAGCAGCAGCAATGCCGAGTAGGATGAATATGGAGGTGTGGCGGCTTACGGGGACGAAAGTCTGGTCGAAGTCGATTCCGTGACACTGATCGTAGCCGTGCACGACCCACCTTGCTTTAAAGCATTCGATTGTACCATCAACGATGCTTTTTACGTGGAAAACCCACTTTCCTGATAGCACCCTCCTCCCCTTTACTGCAGCTCGGTCGACTAGGACCCATGTGTCTCATGATTCTAGCGCCTTTAGTTCCGCATCCATCGCTGCCCACCATTCCTTTCTGTGAGTTCCTGTCAGAGCCCACCTTGGGTTCTTAGGCTCGATGACTCGCAGAGCAGGGGCAGCTGCAGCGTGAAGGCCGAGCAGGTGTAGTCATGTGATGGTGGTGGTATGGTGCTCGTGAGTGGTTACTTCCTGTACATCGTCGTTGTCGCTTTCAGGTATAGTTGCGAAGCTTCTCACAGGGTCTCGATGTCGTGATGGTCCAGGTGTCGTTCCGTCATCGTCATTGTCGTCGCCATCGCGCATGCGAGGATTCACGCTGGGATGTTCGTCGGCAGCGCCGCGATCGAGGATTGTTTTTGCGGCATGGTCTTCATGCGAGGCGAAGCTCCGGTCCCCGTTTGCATAGGCTTGGTTCGCTCCCGCTTGCTCGTCAGCACGGAATCTGGCAAGGATGAGGCGTTCGTAGAACAGGAGATTGTATGCATGTGCGATCTTGTTAGTTTGTAGGTCCAAGATGAGCCACCCCTTGTATTTGTAGCTTATCCCGAGATAGATTCCCCAGCGTGCGCGGTCAGCGAACTTCCCGATGGTTGCTGACGTGGGCCTGTACTGAACCATGCACCCCCACACTCGCAGCATCGAGGTGTCACCTTTCTTCAAAGTCCACTTCATGTGTGGTGATAGATTCCTCGTGTTCGCCGTGGTGGAGAGGAGGCTATGCAGCCGTACTGCATGATGCATAGCGTATGGCCAGTACTTGGCAGGGAGTCCGGACTGCTTCAGCAGTGTGCACACCTTCGTCATGAGCGTGCGGTTGGTGCGCTCAGCGACACCTTGCTGTAGGTGCGCGTAAGGTAGCAAGATGTGGTGAAGGATTTCTTTATCGTCGAGGACGTCCTGAAGTTATTTGCTGCGGAACTCAGTTGCGCCATCCGTCTGCCAGGTCTGAAGCTTCTTCCGCTATTGCCGTTGCTCGTGAGCCAGCCAAAGGTGGGATACATCGTAAGCCCTGCTGAGGCCCTGTACGTTCGCTACCCAGACATAGCGCGTGCTTGCTTCCACGAAGGTGAGGGTGTAGCTTTCGTCATTGAGGCCGCTGAGGCCGACAGCAAGGTAGTTGCTATACACCTTTTGCTGCTTCTCATACCGGTTCGTGCTAGGATCCAGGGAGGAAAAGGACTGATGAGTGAGCGCGGCTGCGGGACAGATGGTACAGGTGTGTGGCTGTGATGTGTTTCTCAGCTTCGTTCCGTCAGGTTGCAGGATAGTTCCAGGTGCGAATACTTCAGCTGTGATGTAGTTGTTAAGCGTTTTTCATGAGGGATGCCAGAGGCGTTGGTGCAAGAGGTCATCTGTTGCGCGGACTCCAGGTGTGCGGATATATCATGCGCGAACTTCTTCGGAAGTTTCCCC